ATGCCTTTAACCCCATCCAACCACAACATCTGCCTTTCCTGGGTCCTTGATACCTGGATACAGATACAGAGTAACTAGGTTGGCTATGCACGCCTGGAAAAATTTTTGTCTATAAATCTTATCGATAATAATTCCCGGAGGTTTGCTTTCACTTTCTTTCCGATTATTTCGAGAAACTTACCCATCCCTCCTGCTTCTGGTTCCCTTGCTTGGTTCAATCGCCTTAATTTTTCACCGCCCTCCTCCCTTCTCCTAGAATGCGCCCGCCTTCGTTCCTGTGTTCAAGCAGCGGATATGGGATATACCAATGATAAGGGGGGGGGGGGGAGGAGGCGAACATGTAGTCCGCTCTACTCCTCTACCGTAAGGCAGGAAGACAGAACCGGAGGTGACATCGTGGACCCGGACGGTTGCCATAGGAACAAGAAACCATAGAGGAGCCCGTGGGCTCTCGCCCCCGCAGTTTCCTGGGCGACTACAGTCCCCAGAATTCCTAGTTTTACAGGCCTCCCACTGCAAATCCATTTCCGTTACCCAATTTATGCCGTTATTTACAGCGGAGCAAATGACCACCTAATAAAAGTGGTCCTCGTTAAATTTCTTTTTAAATTATTTTTTTTTTTTTCTCTTCTGCAGGTATCGCATTCGCCATAGTGAAATCTGGCTTTGCGCTATGCTGATTGCGTTCCTTGCGGTGATGTATGGCAACAGGATAAACAGAATGCAAATTGCTGAATTTAAGAGGGGCGGTTGAATAGATGCCCCAAAGGTGCTTTTTCGGGAGGCAACTGGACTTTGTTTTTCTTTTGAAGACGTTTCACTTCTTCTCATCTGAGAAGCTTCCTTCGGTTCCGACTGGATGGTGGGGAATGGAAGGATTTATATTCCTTGCAGACAGCTGGCCGTGTGCATCCTTTTTAGAAGCGCTTGGAGGTTTATCTGCATCCTCAGGGTCACCTGAGTGATGCTCCTGGTTCCTGGAGTCTGCAATTTTTCCCCTCTGGAAATCAATTCCTGCTCCAGCACCATGCAAAAGTGTTCGTCCCAATATATATATACTATATTTAGCTACATATATATATATATATATATATATGTAGCTAAAAGTCTGTAGAGATTCTCTGTCGTCCAGGTTATGGTTGTCCCGAAAGTGCTTTTTTAAGGAGGCAAAAACAATAAAGTCCAGTTGCTTGGATTACTGAGAATCTCGACAGACTTTTAGCTATACAACATGATCTTGTGTGTGACTTTTTTCGCAACAAAAATGGCATTTTGCACCTGTGTCTCTTCAAGCCACATTCTTCCCTCCTGCCTCTGCAAAAGTGGACAATCAAGCACAACACGAAATGGTCTCTCTTTTCTTTTATTTCTTTATTTTTTTTAAATTTAAATAAGGATAATCTTTCGTATGGAAAGATCTAATACGATCACATATTTGAAAAGTGAAACAATACAAACTGGGGGGGGGGGGGGATAAATCAAACAAAAAACAAACAAAAACCCCTAAAAAGAAAAACAACCCCATAAAAGGGCAAACGAGAACTCTCTTCTTACCAGCTTTGGCAGTTCTCCGAAAGATTTTAAAATGTTTTTGCGCGTCTGCTAATGTATTTCACCATTTGCCCTTTCAAAAATATCTGCTCTACATGAGAAGACAAAACACAGAAGCACTCCCCCCCCCCCAACAAAACAAAAGAACAAAAATAAAAGTTTTACTGTACAGGTTTGCAAGATTAAAACATGAACAGGTACGATACCATCTTTAAAATAAAATAAAAAAGAATGTGATTTATACAGGACGAGAGAAGAAAATTTTGCTATGAACATCTTATTCAGCTTCTTTTGATCATCCTCAACGGAATTTAAGCAGTTCAGCCTTGTGTCGACGTCCGAGCGTTGTGTTAGCGCTTACGATAACCCACAATTTTCAGTTCGACATCTCTGGCGAAAAATGCTCATTAAAAGCCACAGGACAAATTAAAGCCAAGCGCTTTGAATCGGCTTCCGATCGGATGAAGGCTAATTAAAATTAAATCTGCCTGCCATATTTTGAATGTGACATGGAAGGAGAATTTCTGCATCACACCGAAGGCTAAAGGACAAAAAAGGAAGAGGGGAGGGGGAGTAATTAAAATGGCATGCAAGAAAGATCTCGTGGCTGACAATAAACTTTTAAGCTGATGGGTCTTTTCCATCTATAATTCTCTGAAAAAAATAAGAGGAGCCAGGAATATGGAGGGACTTTTTTGCCGAAGGCAAGAAGGGGAAAAGACCTATATTAACAGGTTGATCTCCCCGTTTCTCTCTTTCACACCTTCAGTTTAAGGAACAATTTTCAGAGTTTTTACAGGGGAAAGAAAAATAATTAAGCCAGCCTCGAAATGCAAGAGAGGAAGTGATGAGATACAGAATTAAAATTCTATTTACAGACATCTGTAGCTGAACAAAAACACAACTGCAGCTGAAAACCGGTGCTTTAAAAAAAATAATGATCAAAAGAAGCGCTTATTAATTTGTTTCCGGTTTATAAACGGACTGTTCTTTTGTTCTGATCTTTTTCCCCTCCGAATATCAAGTGCAGAGCTGAAATTTGACAGGCGCACTCTTGGGAAGCGATCCAATTTTTCCTTTTGGTGGAAGGAGGAAGAAAAAAACAAAACACCGTCCTTGCCAATATCCAACCTTTAGCGTTTATGCAGGAGAAAATTGTGCAGAATCGTTCCCCTCTTTTTCTCACCGGCACGTCGGTCGGACGCCAAAATCACAGTGGCTGCATCCAGAAATATTTTGGATTCTCTCAAGATTCATATGTGGTCCTTCCCCAAAACACGCCCAAAATTGTTGTTGAATTTGTAGTGAAGGAAACAGTGGTGGGCTTAGTTTTCTTTCAAGGACATCACAATATTGCGAGCCGCCAAGTTTGGGGTTGCAGCAGACAAAAATAAAGCGAGAAGATTGAGCCAAAATGTAAACGGCTACAATTAAAAAGCTTTAAAATTGAAAGCGAGTTTTGATAAAATAGAAAAAAATCTATGGACTCTTTCTGGGCCTGACCTGTGTAGAATAAATCCAGACATTATATAAATAGATCAGAAAAGTATTTAATTCTTGTTACCTACAACATCAAATACGTATAAATAAATTCTAGTGTTTTGTTTTAAATTTTTGCTGGAGTGGAAGAAAACAGCTGAAAGGCAGATCGAAGGAATCCCTTGATAATCTCTATGCTAAGAGTTGCTTATATTCCCACCAGGTTTACGATGCTCTTTTGCATCTAACAATCAATCTAGCTGCCTCGCAAATTGAAAGACAAACAGCCAAAAAATTTGGCCAGACAAAGAAAAAAATATAAAAATAAGAACTCACCCCGGGCACAAAGTAGTTACGCCACTAAAAGAACAGGATTGCAATTTGCTAAATCTTTGCACAGAGGGAGGGAAAAATTAAAAGGAAAAGCAAAGCAATTATGCCACGATCGCAATTTGTTTAATTTTTGCACGGAGCTTGGCCAGGACAAATCCAAATGTTTTTCGAGGCGTTTTGTGTGAGCAATTCTGCACCTTTCAATATTTTTTCAAGCGGAAGCATAGAAGGAAGCAAAAA